AGTTCACGATTACCAAATTCAATTCTAGAGACTGTGACTGCATTATCATTTAGCCCCGTTTTTAATTGTGAAGTGTGTGAGTGTTTTGTTCGTAAAACGTATAGATATATTTTTCAAGATAGGCTACAGATATCTGACCTCGCCTACAATGTGCCGAAATTTCTCACCAAACTTTCTTACTGCCTTACACAGAATTTTACCTCCGGGTTATTCTTAATTAATACAATAGTAATAGTGTGAGGTATGAGGGACAGTAGTATCGCTTGCTGCTTCTACGAGTACGAAAACTGACTGTGAGTGAGACAGGTTCTATCCGTGCCTCTGAGTACGGGCACACAGGCGCGTGTTGACACGCAATAGACGCCACAGCCTGTCGATCCGATAACCCCACGAAGAACATCAGCTGCATAGCAGTACTGCCTTCCGAGCTAATGGCACAGCATCTGCATGTGTGTCGCACCTTAAATGACAGTGACTTCCAGCGAGTGATATAAAAAAAACTAATGAAGAAATGTTTTAACTAGGTATTGAATTGAATTGAATTGAATTTGCCTTATTTTACGTGGCGAGACTCGGGCCATCAGGCCCGCTCTTCCGTCTGACCACGCAAATTTCACTACGCTCCTTTCACCAACTAGGAGAGAAAGGAGGTATTTCTTGGGCGAGAAACAGGCGATTTGAATTTAGCTCAGAGGTGTCATTTAGGCTTGAGGATCTTTTACATGCAAGTAAATCTACGAACATGGGACAGCCGGCTTTACTTCCCCTTACTAGGTACTTCAAGAAACGAGTGTTCGTGTCGTAATAGGATTTTTGTTACTGACTATATAGCTAGGTCAAATTCTACCTGTATGTCTCGAAGAGAATTCTAGCGGGTAGCTACTCTTATCGGCAGTTTTCCGTGGTTTCTCTGGTATACACCAGGCGAATGCTGAAGCAGTACCCTAATAAAGGGCAACGCATGGCTCGCGATCTTTCCCTCTACTTCCTTGTCCACTTCACCCCTTACACACACTGACACTCACGCGCATTAACAACCACACCTGTCAGGAGGCCAGTCGGGAGCTTAGAGCTTGTCCCGGCTGGCACGGTGCCCCATTTGAGCAGATAACTGGATGGTATCTCTTGCAAGCCGTGTAGGCTGGCGTCGGATCCCACCATCCAGCGGCGGGAAACACCGTCGCCTCTCGGGATCAAACATTCACTACACTAACGGGACTAATATTCGTCGATAGCACCAGTCAATAAATCAGCAAAAATGTTAAAAATAGAAACTGAATCACAGATGCTGGTGGTATATTATCCATAAAACATTATGTGATTATAGTATGATGATAAATTATTGTGCTGTTCTCCATGGAATATAAAGGCGTGAGCTGCCTCGTGTTGAGATTAAGATCTTAAATTAATTAATAAAATAGTGGCAATAAAAATTCGAATTAATAATATTAAATCATCCTATTGCGATTATTTATTCGTTAATTAAAAATATCACTTTACTAAATATTGAAGCTTTAATCGTTTCAATCTTCTTTCTTCTTCACTATGGTTAATTTTATTTTGTAGTATAGTCTGCTATACTTGCTTCTGGGGACACAAGAATTCTTGTGGAGAATTCTTCCGAATCTGATGCAGTGCGCGGTATGTTGCATTGTTTCTCTGAAATGACTACCTTGGAAAGTGAGTGCAGGCAACGATTCCTTGTTTCCGATCTCAGCACGTGAATAGAAAGAACCCAAGTTAATTTGATATCTTGTATCGATAACTCACGTGTTCTGGTGTAGCCGAAGCGAAATCTTGAAAGATCGTTTCCGCTTTACTTGGAAAGTCAACCCTCTCTCCGGATCTTGCATCATCCATCATCCGTTCTTCTGGGACTTCTTTTTTTCCTCTGTACCTATCTTTCCGCCAGATAACTCGAAATGTTCGTCATGACACCACATACCGATCTGTCGGGGAATACTCTGAAGTATCTGACCACAGGATACTTTCATTCCGTCAGCATCCCCAGAAGGATGTGACCTGCTCAAACTATCTTGGTTCAGAAGCATGTTTCCAGTCCCTCTGTGAACGTTTTTTTCCGAAATCTTCACCAGATTATATTTTAACTAATAAATTAAATAATTAAATAGTAGCAATGAAAATGCGGATTAATTATATTAAATCATCCAATTGCGATTAATTATTAGTTAATTAAAAATATCAATTTATTAAATATTGAAGCATTCATCGTTTCAATCTTCTTTCTTCTGCACTATTGTTAAGTAATTTTATTTTGTTGTATAGTCTGCTATACAGTTTTGGTATGCGGTAAGGGCAACGGGTTTAATAAATTCTTTTCGTGGTTGCAATATTCAGGTTTATCTGAAATAATATTTCTTTGCCTCTGATCTCCGATGTTTGCCAGAGGATCTTCTTCTGTATCATTGGATGAGTTATCATTGGATGAGTTATGAGGATCAGCATTCAGACCACGACCATAGAAATGGGAGGGTAGAAAGAAGAGCTAAGGACGGTTACGTAGTCCGTTGGGCGAAAGATTGCTCTCACGTCCCCCGAAATATCGGACAGATTAAACCACGAAATCGACCGATCAGTAGCGGACTCTTTTTGGCCCTGTATTACCGACGTTAGGGATACTTAAAATTGATTTCTAGAGGACACATGATTAATCCCTAAGGATTTTATCATGTGGGATCTAAATGTATTTCTTAATTTTACAGAAAAGTTTTGATTAGGGATAATTCGATTGATTTAATACGAATCCAACACCAAAAGCAGAAATTTGCAAAGCCTGAATTGTAATGGAAGAAGGGGGAAGGTTTACGAACTTTCAGAAAGTGAGTTTAAGAAACTTTGTGAGGAGAGACAATTACGAATACGGGGAAATGCAGGATGTCAAGATCGATATGAACTGCACCAGAAACGCAATGAATATTAGAGAAAAAAATTGTGAATGTTTTCTGTTATGAAAATGTTTATTGGAATAACGTATAAACCACTCTGAAGAGTACCATTGTCGTCTCTGGCGCGAAACAGTTTGGGGGACATCAAAGGAAGTGTGTACCTGTGGAGTTGTTAAAAACGCTACACGTGATAAATTTAAAAATGTGAAGTTATGTTGAAGCAATTCATGAATTCATTAATATATCACGACAATAAATTTAGAAAACTGCAGCAGTCACGGAGACAATGGGGACAGCGGAGGTCAACACAAGAATGGCTGGAAATATTTGTTTATACTGCTCCGCATCGCTAGATGTGAAAACGCAAGTTCTTATAGGTAGCGCTTCGTATACCCCCCTGATCAGGAACATCTTCCTAATGTACACTGCCCAAACGTATTTGACTAATGACGCACGTCAACCACTTTTCTTATTGCCATTTAACAAACTGAATGCTACCGACATCATTGTACGTTGCTCCAAGAGGCACTTTAGTAAATATGAAATTAGAATAAAACTACTGAATGTATTTGATATTATTGTGAGGGAACATGATTCCCGAATCCACGCCAGATACGCTCATTAAAAGTACGAAGCTATGAGTTATTGATGCTATATCGGTATCGACGTTTTCAAAACAGATTTTTTAAAAATCATCAATGTATTTAGCATCGATTTTTTGTAGTCAGTGTTTTTTAAGCACCAGTGTTTTGTCTTCGATGGTTTTTTTACGGTTTATATTTTTAAATGAAAAATTGTCTTCAAAACAAGATACTATTATAATTTTCAGATTTCTATAATTTGAATATTTTTCAAATCATTTTCAATGTGATCAAAGGTGAAAAATAAATAAAATCCAGTTTTCGTCAGTAAAGACGTCTGAATTAGTTTTGAATTATCGAATCAGATAATCATTTTTTGTTAATTGTTAAGTTGATTTTTTGACGTTGTTTTGTGATTTAAATCTCAAAATAAAAATAACATATCTCTTTCAAATTACCCCCCCCCCCGTGTAAGCTTCGACATTTAGTAATCCAGTTTAAAAAACATTGATGTTTAAAAACATGGTTAATTACTTTGCGTCGAAGTTTAAAAACATGGTTAAAATTTTGGGTCGATGTTTTATTACATTGGGTCGATGTTTTAATTTTGAGAATCGATGTTTAGAAACATCAATGTTTTGTTGGCAATCTCATGTCCTTACTAGGAGTGTCGAAAACAAAGGCATTGCTACTGTGTGCGTCTTCGTGCCCGACGCTGGCTGAGCGTGGGCGTGGGCGGAAGTGACTTCTGCGCCGCGGCGGCGGGGCGAAGTGGGAGGGGGCAGAGGGGGCGTCGCGACGCGCGGACGGAAGGGCGTCGGCGGCGCCGCTTTAGCACTTCCGTCGTCTGCGGGAGGTTGGGGGAGGGGAGAGAGAGCGATTGTACCGATCGGACTCGATTAACGCACAATCGACGCGGGATTAATACCTTGAGGCACACCACGGAAATGATTCACGGATAGGCAATCTATAATCCACGGGTTAACCTTTTGATAATTTTGGTACTTTTAATGACCCATGCTAATTGAGAATAGTATGATTGTGATTAAATTTCAGTAAGATTTTAAATGACTCGTTCGTTTAAATGGCTAGCTCTTGGTCAGCATGATCGATTTCCACAACACGGCCCTGGATGAGATTTCCGTTCGCGCCACAACAATAGTGTTCGTTTTCCTTGCTATGTCCCAGTGTCAGTTGCTGTGTGACGATGAGAAAACTCACTCCTCAAGTTGAGAAGACCGGAATACGGGGTGGGGGTGTCAACGTGCCAACCACACGTGTCCCCACCGCCAGAGAGGGACGTCGCCGGTAGGCCTGACCCCGTTCTCGGACTGTCGCGCCAGGTACTTACATACATGCATACATACAATATTTTAAATAAATTAATGAACTAGAACTTTTCCGTTGTATTTCTTTTCAAAATAAAATACGAATTTTCATTAAAATATTTATATTTTAAATTGAACACATTTTAATTTAATTCTCAATAAAATGTATACTTGATATTCATTAGAAGAAGAAGATGATGATGATGATGATGATGATGATGATGATGATGATGAAGACTCAACCAATGAGAGTGATTCTGATGAAGTTTAAAATAAAAAGAGTTATTGATAGGCCTTATATTTGAACAACCACACGACTACATATTCTAACATGTGACTAGTCTTCAATAAAATTTCAAAAATAAAAACATTAAAAATTTATTCAACGGAAATAACTTTTGGAAACGACGTAAAGCAAGACAGTTTTCTCGTCGAAGTTCTCCGACACCGGTAGCAACGACGATCAAAGCGTTGCACTTCCGGCTGTTCGAATACTTCTAATGCAACTTGCTTCCGGTTGTGCAGAGCGTCGAACGGAAGCGATAAAAATACCCGCGTCCACAACAGCATCAACCACCCCCGCCCGCCCTCGCGGAAACAGGAAGTCTCCATTTTTCAAGTCGAAAATCGCCGAATGAGAGCCGCTGATGAATGGGGCAGGACTTAAAAATAGCAGGGAGGCGGATGCAGGGATGTCACTTGCAGGCGCACCGAGCTCCTTCTGTGAACGCACCCCGCACTACAGCAGTCACCCCACTACGCAGGAAGCGCTCTCGCGACCGTCCACAACTGGAGAGGAGGCTCAGAGCGCCAACACACGTCATTGCTGTGTCTTTGACCGGGAAGTCCTGGGTTTGAGTCCCGACGGTGGCAGGAATTTCGACACTACCTCAATAGTGCTCAAAAACCCGCACCATCTTTCTCACAGTTGTAATCTGCAATTCAATCCTAAAAACACACCACTTGATTGGCAATAATCAAGCGAGTTATGAAGGTAATGGAATCATAAACATATAATCCATATAAAATATATGATTACCAATGTCTTCTGATAATTGTTTAAAATGTTTCAGAGCAGATTAGATAAGAAAATACAGAAATCCTATTTTCTTTAAGTGAAACTGCTTTTTAGCACTACCGTAGATAGCTAGGTCGAGTTCAGACGCTGTATGGAGGAGAATTCCAGGTGGCACTGCTCTGACCGGTAGTTTTCCGTGGTTTCTCCGATCTCCATCAGGCGAATGCTGGAGCAGTACCCTTACAAACGGGCCAAGGATCACTCGCGATCTTTCCTTCTTCTTCCTTATTCTATACAGACGTTAGTTCTGCGCCGGATCTAGCCATTCAGCAAGGGAAATCCTCCACCATCTTTCAATAAAAATCATGCACTACACTTACGTGACTAATGACTTTCGCAGATGACGCGCCCGGAATTATTGGCAATCAATCAATTTACGAACACACACCGGAGCGACTTCGAAAGTCTGTCTCCGATATCGTTTCAGCCCAAATCTGTGTCTGACATTACCTTCGCGAAAGTTTACTTAGTATTGCGTGAGATTTTAGATGAATTCATTCATTGATATATTTGTTATGTTCTCCTTAACTCCCACCTTTTCACGTCCTGCACTTCCGATCATATGAATATCAATTTTTCTAAAATAGATTTGTTTTAAATTACGCAGTGAACTCTCTGCTCATATGAGGATGCCTCTACATGAGAGTTGAAAAACTCCTCGCTTAGAAACTCGTCTGGAGGATACATCGAGAGGAAAGTGCTAGACATTTCAGTTGTGATGCAACGATCAACTTGTATCAAATAAGTGGATCAAAAATACGAGTACATTAAGAAGAAACGAAAAATCTACGTGAAAAGTCCCTTTTACATGTTGAACAACACTATTACTACTACAATATATACTGCTACTTTACTGTAGTAAAGTAGTACTTTACTATAGTAAAGTAGTTTATTTTAAAGTACTATACTATAGTAAAGTAGTGCCATTGTCTTCGAAATGAATTACAAAATTTCAAAATGTATTCAAATTACTATTTTGACTTTCTTTACATTTGTTATTCTAAAATAATTTTGTTTTATTTGTTCATTTACTGTACTATTCATTATGAACATATTTCGTCTGTGATGTTTTTCTTTTTAGGTATTACTAAGCCATCGTACAAAACAATTATATAAATAAATATTATGGAAACTATACAAACAGAGGAGAACGGACGTAACTGTATACAATTTGATGATACAATACTCAAATTTTGTGAAGTTACGTTAGCTCCCGCTTGCACTTATGGAAGAGAAAGAAAGAATCATTAAGAACATTTACGAAACTAATGGAGCTACAACAGCATGTACTTTTTCGCATTAGTAACGGTTTGCTTAGTATTATAATACTGACCCGTATTAACACATCTTAAATCTAACTTTAAAAAAACCCTTACCTATTACAGGGTATTAAGAAAACTAATTATTTTAAAGCAAATATGTCAACGTAAATTCAACAATAGACAACTACCTTAAAGGCAGATTCATTGCCCAATAATGCTAGAAATTTCGAACTGTTATAAATTTCGAAATGCTTTGAAGTGGACTTGCTATTGTCATATTGTTATCTGATTTCAGCTATAGAAGCACGGAAAATTCGGATTTGCAATTTATAAGATTGCGCAAAACTACCCATACTTTAAAAAACTGAACATGTCCTTATTGGAAGATCTAATTTTGAAGAATGAGTTTCCTTAAGTAAAGAAAACTGTATCACCAATATTGTAGTTTTGCAATGTTAATTTTTTTGCATTTTTCGAAAATACAAAGGATTTATCAAAAATGGGCCCTGTGCCATTTTTATAAGCGTACTTTATTCACGAAAAGTATTTTTTTTTAAATCGGAGCCGTTTTTGAGAAAGTAATTTTTCAAATTTCCATTTCCTTCATACACAAACTATACCAAAACAACTAGTATTTTTTCAAAAAACTATATGTCTTTAGTTAAAGAACTGACATTGAAGAACATATGTAATGAACTTGAGTATTGAGGTCGTAGGAAGAGAAATTTTAACTTTTTTCAATTTTGGAAAATTCAGATATTTTAGTGAAAATGCGATGAGTCGTTGTTAAGCGTATTGTGCTCTATTCGAGGTAAAAAATTAATAAAATTTTGGAGACATATTGTTAAATATTGTGAAAATATTCGGGCTGTATGAAAAGTACCTTTAAAAATCAAAATAATATTTTCAAATTCGCGGGGCCTCGGTGTATTTCACTACAGTTAAAGTGAAATATCAATTTTGGAGAAAATCGTTCCAGCGATTTAGGCTGCAGCCATGCACACGGAAGGACAGCTAGACGTTTTGTCGCCGTTCCAATTTTTCGACCCACAAAACATGGATTTTTGGTACACATCGTATTAGAGGAAGTAATTTACTACATTTAGGAGGAGGATTTATCCAGAACCCCTGATACGTGTTTTTCTGTCGAAAAATTTTAATATCTTTACCCAGAATTACAATACTACCGAATTACATACTACGTAGGTAGTATGGTAGAGAAAGTAAAAGAATTGGAATCAGCTTCAGCGTGCTGAAATGCAATTTCTCAGAAGATTGGAAATGTTCAGGAAAGAAAATAAAGTAAAAGACATGAACATCAGTAAAGAATTAAATATATTGTCTTTTTTGATAAAATGATACTCTGTATAGAATGCTCTGGAAAGAACATGTTGATAGGATGGAAGATATCTGGTTTCGAAAAGCTATTATATCTTACATTTTGAGAGGAAGAACAGATGTGGGAAGATTTAGAAAAAGTTGGAATCAAAGGCCGGAGAAAGCTAATATCTAGGCCGTAAAGTGAAGATGGCGACGAATATAACGGAGTTTTATCACAATATTCGTAACCAACTTTTATATTTCAACTTTTATGAGTTGTTAGATTGTCAAAAATAATGCAGCATTTTTGTCTGAAACTTATACTATGTTTGAAGTTATTTCAACTCTTCACTGTTTTTGAACATGAACAAATTCTCGACTTAATTTTCTTGTGTCTAAAAAATATCTTTTTCTTCGCCCTAAACATCACGTGCAGGAAACGGTTACTCACATACGGTTTACACTCGTTGTGAAAGCTATGAGCAATTTGACAAACCGGGGCCGATTGAACCGCGTGTAGGAGCGCCTCGCTGTTGGCTCCTCGACCATTTTGTTCGCCACCCATCAACCGAATTTTGACATCATTCCAAGCGCGGAGTTCGTTCACGCGTCGCCTCCGGTGGGGCGGAGGGCTGGGGGGGGCGGGGCGGGTAGGGCGGCTACGCCAGATATTCCTCTGCGGCCGCTATTAATACGTGCGCGTTGGCGCCGGAGGGTGGGAGAGGCGGGAGCAGAGGGAGGAGGAGGCGGCGGAGGGGTTCGGAAATCACGCGGCGGGGGCGGTGGAGGCGGCGGACGCCCCGGGCTGCTTCTGAATGAACGGAGCCTAGGCGCCGCGACGCTCCCGCTGCCGGCGCCACGCGTTGCCAACCTCCGCGCCTCTGCCCGGAGGCCAGCCTTCGGACTCGCTCGCCCGGAGCCGGCTTAATATCCTAAGCTCCTGCACTCACCCGAAGGAAATATCCTAAGGTGCCCTGAGCAAGTTCACAAGGACTGTAGCTAGATAGCTAGGTCAAATTCAGCTGCTGTCTAGAGGAGAGTTCTAGCGACGACTAGTCTTGCCAGTGGTTTTTCGTGTTTTCTGCGATCAATATCAAAGGCGAATATCGGTACAGTACCCTAACAAACAAGCCAGAGCCTACGCGTGACCTTTCCTTCCTCTTCCTTGCCTCCTCCTTCTCTCCCCTTACATACTCGTAAACACTCTTACTCTTACTACACTACAAGAAATGACGAGAAACCTGTTTAGAGCTTACAGCTTATGCCGGCTGAGGTGATACCTTGTTGGAGAGGAAGACCCCTTAAACCAAAGTGGAGTTCGGCTCTGGATCTCATGTCTCAGTGGACGAGGAACACCTCGATCTCCTGAGACGTAATTTGCTCTTCACTCACAGGGCTGATGACCAAAGTCTTTTTCCGCATAGTGTACACATTGTATAGAACATTCCTTCTGTACAGGTCTTCCTTCTGTGCAATGTAATCTCAAGGGTTCAATTATTGTAATAATATTGATATTAAGTTTGAAGGCGGAAATGTAAAGACGATTTTGCACGGTATGTTCACGGACCGTCGTGGAGAGTATCGGAACCGAGGTTGGTAAATGGAAACTTC